TAGACTGCACCAATGTCCGAAATTTTGGATGTAATTTTGACAGGGGCCAGACAACCCCCATGGAATGCTCCAATGTCTGAAATTTATACTTCAAGTACCCGAAAATGCGGTCAAAAAAACATCCGGATTTGTATTTAACATGCTGAATGTCATTACCCCGAAAATGTGGTTGAAAAAATGTCCGGAGTTGTAGTTGACTTGGTCAATGTCACTGCTCCGAAAATGCGGCCAAAAAAACATCCGGATTTGTATTAGTGTGATTTGTATTAGTGCAGCAATGTCCGAAGTTTTGGATGTAATTTTGACATGGACCAGACAAGCCCCACATGGAATGCTCTCAAGTCCGAAATTTTGTGGGTCATTTCCATTCAGATGTATTAATCTCTGTAGAGTGCACAAATGTCCGAAATTTCAGATGTAATTTTGACAGGGGCCAGACAACCCCCATAGAATGCTCCAACGTCCGAAATTTAGTACTTCAAGTACCTGAAAATGCGGCCGAAAAATGTCCGGATTTGTGATTAACTTGGTTAACATCACTGATCCGAAAATGCAGCCAACAAAACATCCGGATTTGTATTAGTGCACCAATGTCCGATGTTTCAGATGTAATTTTGACATGGACCAGACAACCCCCTGCGGAATGCTCTGAAGTCCGAAATTTTTTAAGTTACTTCCATCCAGATATAATAATCCCCATAGACTGCACCAATGTCCGAAATTTTGGATGTAATTTTGACAGGGGCCAGACAACCCCCATGAAATGCTCCAATGTCTGAAATTTATACTTCAAGTACCTGAAAATGCGGTCACAAAAACATCCGGATTTGTATTTAACATGCTGAATGTCATTACCCCGAAAATGTGGCTGGAAAAAATGTCCGGAGTTGTAGTTGACTTGGTCAATGTCACTGCTCCGAAAATGCGGCCGAAAAAACATCCGGATTTGTATTTAACATGCTGAATGTCATTGCCCTGAAAATGCGGCCGAAAAAATGTCCGGATTTGTGATTAACTTGGTGAACATCACTGATCCGAAAATGCGGCCGAAAAAACATCCGGATTTGTATTAGTGCAACAATGTCCGAAGTTTCGGATGTAATTTTTACACAGACCAGACAACCCCCCGCGGAATGCTCTGAAGTCCGAAATTTTTTAAGTTACTTCCATCCAGATATAATGATCCACATAGACTGCACCAATGTCCGAAATTTAGTACTGTCAAGTATTTGACAAGGCCAGACAACCCCCATAGAATGCTCCAATGTCCGAAATTTAATACTTCAAGTACCCGAAAATGCGGCCAAAAAAACATCCGGATCTGTATTTAACTGAATGTCATTGCCCCAA